TGCTGCTGCTGCTGCTGCTGCTGGTGGGGGTGGTGGTGGTGGGGGGGTGGGGGACAGGGAGGGAGGGAAGGGGAGGGTTGATAGATATGCAGAGAGAGATATACACACAGAGGGAGAGGGGTTTGTTGCTGCTGCTGCTGTTGCTGCTGCTGCTGCTGCTGTTGCTGTTGCTGCTGCTGTTGCTGTAGATGCTGTTACTGTTGCTGCAATAGATGGGGGGGATACCGCTGCGTATAATCGAGGCTGAGGAGGCCTGACTGTGCTTCTTGCTGCTGTTGCTGTTGCTGTTGCTGCTGCTGCTGCTGCTGCTGGTGGTGGTAGGGCTGCAGCAGCTGCTGCTGCAACTTGTTGCTGCTCTCGCAGCAAATACCTCCACCTCTAAACTATAAATTTATTCGCGTTTCCTCTTTATGAGGAGCAGCGAAGCAGCAGCTGATGTGCAGCAGCAGCAGCAGCAGCAGCAGCAGTACGGCGGTGGCAGCAGCAGCAGCAGCAGCAGCAGCAGCAGCAACAATGCATGCACAGCGAGAGTGTAATTGTTTATTTGTTTTAGGTTCGTATAAATAAACAAATAAAGTTGCTTCAGCTAATTCAGTAAACAAACAAAAAGACAACACAAGCAGCAGCAGCAGCAGCAGCTGCTGCTGCTGCTGCTGCAGCCGCAGCAGCAGCAGCTATGGCTGCCGCTGGTGCATGTCTGCAGCAGCAGCCTACTTTTCGGCAGCAGCAGCAGCAGCAACAGCAGCAGCAGCAGCAGCAGCAACAGCAGAAACAACAGCAACAATACATATTTTATTTATTTCTTTGGTTCTTCTTTACTCAGCTGCAGGGCTCAGACACCCCACGACCTTGCTGCAGCAGCAGCAGCAGCAGCAGCAGCAGCAGCAGCAGCAGCAGCAGCAACAGAGTCTCGCCTGCAGCAGCAGCAACAGCAGCAGCAGCAGCGGCAACAGCTGCAGCAACACCAGGAACAGCAACAGCAGCAACAGCAGCAGCAACAGCTGCAGCAACAGCAACAGCAACAACAGCAGTTTCCGCCTCTAATTGAGGCA